AGCTAACTATAAAACTGTTCAAAACTTGAAAATATGTCATCCAACAAAGAAATGGTCCATTTCTAATTTTAATTTTATTAATACACAAAAATCAGTATACAATGAAAATAAAATCAATTTAAAAAACTTTTTCTGTGCCTAGAAGACGATTTAAATGATTTGCATTTCGTTTCGATAGATTTGAAAATATATATTGTGTGTACAATAAAGTGTTTTACATTTTTGTATCTAGGCCCACGAAAACGTTTTAACCGTCGGATAGATTTGTTCGTGGAGCATGTTCATAGGTCATACACAAAAGGTACATTATAAAGCCAAAAATGGTAAAAAAAGGAAAATTAAATTTAAAAAACTAATAACACAGTTCCAAACACTAGTTTATAAAGTATAATATAATATTATTTATGCTATTTTATTTTTATAAAGCTTTAAACTTAAAATTATATTTTATTATTAAAAATAGTCATTTGTTTGTGGTATTTAATTTCCTTGGCTATTTTCGTAGCCTATTTCAAGGTAGAACACCAGGAAGTAGGATCGCCGAACGGGTATCCCGCTTATCACGCGCCACATTCGTATCAACCATTAACACAGCTATAGCTTGCGGCTTGTAACCGACAGCATTTCGTAAAGGACGAACAATCGGTAGAAATATTATGCTATGGGCCATGGTTATTACTTATTACGGTATGTATATTATAATATTTAGGTGACTCGCGGCGCATTATTATTATTATATACGAGTACGCGCGAACGCTATTCAATCAATGCCAACGCGATTTACACGATTAATAAATGATATAGTGTATTTTCTATATATATATATATATATATATATTGGGGATCGACTATTTTTAATGAGTCAGATAATTAGAACTAATGGTTATGAAAGAATAACCATCTCTCGTAGCGTTATTATTGCTTTTCGTCGGCGTACGACCACGGCAAAGAGAACAACCTATGAGTATCGTGAAACACACACACGTATATTATATTATATACAGTTATAAAACATTATTATACACATATATAACTATCGAGTCTTTTGGGCCGCCGCAGTCTGACTGACAAGTCGAAGAGAATTTACATTATACAACAACGCAACTTGACAATATTGAGTGTTAGACATTATTTACGATAGCGGTTTGTTTAGATTTTTACGTGGGCCAACATGTATTTAACAGGGCATAATCGTCGTTCGGTCGGATGATTTTTTACGGCCGATAAGTACACATATTAATTACACCGGCGACGCGACAAAGCGACTTATTATTAAAACAAACAAACGACCGTTTTATTTTATAATCCTCTTAATAAAACATGACGTGTTGCGCACAGTAAAACAGTAAAACGATCAGTTTTTAAACCCGCAGAAAGTTATACGCATATATATATATATATACATATATATATATGTAATTTTTATTTATTTACAATATTTTAAATCGCAAATAGAAGTATTATAATAAGATATGTTTGGAAGAAACGCCCGTATAGGAACTTATTCAATTGATTTTAATCATATTTTTTAAAAGAATTTTTTTGGAAGTAGGAATGACTGGAATTGCGTTTAATTTTTAACATGAAATCTCTTTTTCTTCAAGGGTTGTTGAATATACAACAAAATTTCCTTAAATTAATTTTAATATATTAGTTATGTGCAGATTTTAAATTTTTAACGTACTTTACTATTTTAAGGTTATTTTAACTTCGGTAACAAGATTAAGAGGAGTTAACTTTTGAAACTTTATTAGTAACGTACACGTTTAATTCGTTTTTTTAATTAAGAATAATTTGATGAAAATGTTGACTGAGTCGAGTGTAGTATTATTTTATCTCCCGTCCTTAATTTTTAACTTTACAATTAAGTTAATAATTTAAAACTGGTTATCGAGTATCGGCCATTCAAAATGTTAAGCGAATTATGCTATTAACCTATGACATCATAGTTTAGATGTTACCCTCTAAATCTAGCTTCAGACTGAAAATAACAAAAACTTTAAATTATTATTATTTGATAAAAATCAAAAAGGTTTTACAAGGGTAAATTTTTCATAATTTTAGTATAACACCAAATAATTAAATGGGCCACGAATTTTTTGTAATGAAGGGTCTGAATACCCTCCTATATATACTATATATATATATCGATTTACAAATATTATAAATTATTATTACTATTATTTATTATTATTAATGCGGCTAGTAAACTTGATAACGCGTATCATATAAGAATCTTCAAAGTGGGACAAACTGAAAGCAGAGAAGAGGCGAGAAAAGAGGACGACATAAATATAATTTTATTAGAATAACGTCACATGTTTTAAATCAAATTTCAATAATATAATTATGCACAGTAAAGAGAAGAAAAAGACGTTGCAATCTTGTTTTTGTGTGTGAATGGACAGAATCCATAAACACAAATACATATAAAATACAGAACGACGACTTTACGTTACACGACTACTGCTTGGGTATTAAATATGAAGTCACCGGGTTTCGTTTGTTAAAATGTAAATCTTCGTTCGAAAAATAAAAATAAAAACCACCTAGGTGCAGTATCGATTTTTTCTTCTTCTTATTATTATTTCTTTGTGAAACGACACAATCGTCGGCCATGGTCATCAACCGTCGCCGCCGTGGTCAAGTGAAATCTTTTGATTTCGTTTTAAGACACGGTGTGTAACAAACACACAAGCAACAACAGCGAGGGGTGTCCCGAGTGCGGTGGAAGGAACACAGCGGCTACGGTGTGAGGCAAACCGGCAGGTTTAATATGCACAAAGAAACCAGTTCTAAAATATTTCATACCTACTGGTCCAGGGATGCTCAGCGGTCGCTGCTATCATATTATATTGTATGTCTATATATATAAATATATATGTATGTGTGTATATATATATATATATATATATATATATATATATATATATAGTGTGTGTGTGTGTGTGTGTGTGTGTCGGTCTGTCTGTCTGTCAGTATGTCTGCCTGCCTGCCTGCCTGCTCGTGAATTGAATGATCCGACTTTTATGAACAATATTCTATAAGTAAAATTATTATAAACGCGCCACCTATTAAACAACGTTTAAGTATAAAAGTTTTGTTTTTATATTAATACTTTAGTCTGGAGCCTAAAAGGAATACACAATTCGAAAAACCGTAACACATTTTGGTGCAATTATACGGATTGATATACTTATTCAAATTATAGCATTAAATCGATGACATTGTGCACCGTAGTTGTTATATGTGCATGTTTTTTTATTACTAGGGGAGATTGAAATGTTATTTATACTTAATAACCTCCTACATAATATTGTGTACGAATTATGAAAAACAGAAATTATTAGACATCATAGAAGTTGTATTAAATACGCGTAACATATGGCATTTTGAATTTTTAAACAGTTGCACTATGACACCTGTGCACTATCATGCCATCGGCATTATAATGTTTAGAACCTTTACCTTAATAAAAAATTAAAACTTCCAGCGGCAACTTGACAGCGAAAAGTCAACAGTCTGACCAACAATACTCTAACAATGAAGAATAGGTATATATGAAAAGGTAACAATGGATAATATCTTCCCTCACACACACCACCTGCTGGAAGAACGATTGGTTGTTCCGTATGTTCGGTTCCAGAGATAAATCGTACACTTTCAAAATTACTAGAGAAGTATGAAAAATACAAATTATTCTTATTTTTAAGAAAAATATATGCATATATACATATATTCAGGTGATTTTTTTATAGGGTTTAATCAGTTATTGATTTTTTTCCGTCGTGTTTTTATACAATGTGATCTAAATTTTTCACAAACTTATTTTAAACACCCCTCCCAAATTAGTTATTTTTATATCCACTTTTGGAACTTACATGGTAACGTATATAATATCTGATTATCTCATTAAATTAAAAATAATTTAAAAAGTTAATAAAATATGTACGATACCATTTAAAAATAACTAATTTGGAAGGGGGTTAAAAAATAAAAATTTGTGTAAAATTGAGATCACATTGTATAAAAACACTATTCCATTTTATTCTACTAAAGGCCTTGGCCTTGTCGTTGCAGGAGAGTTGATTAAACCCTATGAGATATTGAGTGGATCACTTTTTTTAAAGTGATATAAAGTTTTATAATATATAAAACAAGAAATTTCATTGATATTTGACGAGACACTACGTTCGATGATAACTCGATAAAAACGAATACACTGCACGGAAAAACGTGTTAAAATTGTCCGGATATGCGATCGCTTGTTAATGATCAGGTTTAATTTGAATAAGTTTGCATAAATTATAAACATACAAACAGACCTAACTTAACCAATGGGTTGGTCGTCCGGGTTGAGTAGTAAAACTGCCGGAAATATATATTTATATAGAATAAAAAAAAACCACACACAAATTACTATAGTCTGTGAACGCGTTATCTTAACGCCGGATGACAAGTCAAATGGATTAGTTGTAAATAAATAAAAACGATCAAAGGGTATTTAAATATTTATATCGGACGAATTTATCGCTATTTACAGCAACGGTGTTGAATGACGGTGTATGTCGACCGAAAACTATTTTATTTAAGTAACTTTTACAGACGTTTTTATGAAAAAAAAATCATGTTCCATTGTTACAGTTGTGTCAACAGTAGACATCGCTACCACAAATAAATTACGTGGTCGTTTTAGTATTCAATCGTACAGGTTTTTTGGAGCAATCAGAGACTAAACTGAAAACATATGTAAATGTTTTGCCGTGCAAAAGCCCTATGACGTTTTTACATCAATTTTGGTGCAATCGTTATTAGACCTCGGCTTGGTGTTCGATTGACTAATAAAACGTTTAATTTATTGAAAATTCTTTAGCCGATCCTTTTAATCATCAACGACTGGCGATGAACGATTAAAACATTTTTAAAAATGGTCAACGAATCATCAGTTTTTTAAACACAAAAAATAGCGCCAATAAATAATTTCTATTAATTGTACTCACCAGTTTTTTCTTTAATTTCACAAAGGACACTGAATAACGAAGGTTTCATTCGGTGACAGTTAAGTGTGTGTTTCCTGAAAACGATAAACAATATACATTAATAATACTTTTTAGAAATAAGACACAATGTTTATGCTCGTGTAAGAAATCTATCCTTTTTTACTGCTGTGATCAAAATTACATTTTTTAAACGTTCTTTAGTTTCTATGGCCCACATTTAATTGTATCTATCCGAGAGGCGGGTTGATTTCTGACGTCCGACAACAAAAACTTAGCTCCGAGCAATTATTACAAGTTCTCCATAAACGGCTATCAAAATCCCAAAACCACGATATACGTTTTTCGTTGGGAGACAATTAAATAACCACAACGAAAAACACAAGAGGTTTATCTTGATTATATCTCTCAAATATAATATATAATATACATATATGTATAAATATTTTTTTTATTCAAGTAAAATAAATTGATACCTACAATACATATTATACATAATAATTATTGTCTATACGGACAGCACAGAATAATTATTTTAATTGGATACCTCATGGTTCGACGTTATAAGAGCAAACACAATTTTAAATCAAGTTTATTAATTTTAACCTCACGTGCCCTGTCAAAAGTATTGACTGTGACACTTCAAAATTCTAACTAAACAGTACCACGAGAGCACGTCAATTTTATATTGTTTTGTTAAAATTAGAAATTGGAAAATTAAATATAAACAATTATATACATCTAACGTATTTAACAAATCTGACGAGTAAACAAATTTGAAATTATTTACCTACTATTTTTACTGAATACAGAATGCATATTCTCGGCTTTAAATAAATCGTATAGTCACTTAAAAAATCGATTAAAAGTTATCTTCAAAAATAATTATTACTTTTAAAAACTTCTTGACGTTTTATCTTTTAATTGTTGGAAACTCGTACATTTGAAATCTATTAATACGAAATCCAAATTTTGATTTACTTATCATCTTAAAAAGCGAGTTTTTGGAATGCTAGTGATTAGTATTCAGAATTGATTAATAATGAAACAAAATAGTAATAACAATTGAATGATAATTAAAGTCATAAAATATCAAATGATTTGATTAGAGTAAAATGTGTAGTTACAAAATATTGTGTTTCTAACACAATTGAAGGAATGCTCGATAATAAATATAACTCACAGAATGTCACCGAAATAAAAATAACAAAATTATTAATATTTAAAACAATAAACGCGCGTTTACAATATTTTTAAATAAAGAAATAGATAAGTAAAATAATACAACTAAATTATGTTTTTGAAACCAAATCACGTTTTGTCGGTGTTATAAAAACCAGTTTAAATTTAATTTCATTATTGATGAATTATAATTAATTAAAAATCTGGTGCTTTTTTTACAAACCAAATAAGTATAATTATTTGATACGTCGATGAATATAGTAATATTTTTAAAAAAATGTAATCCTGAACATTAATTTACAAAATGCGTCAGAAAGAATTTGTTTTAAATTTTATTTTAAAAGCGTAAAAGGACACTGTAGATTTTGGAGGGAAAAAGCGAAATGACGTAAATCACTCTTCTACCAACAGATAGATAACATCTCGACGAAAGATGAATGTATTATGGGTTTTTAGATTTATTACGTTCAAAGGACAAAAAAAAGGCGTAAAAATAGGTCTTTCTTGAACTGTTAATCCAATAAAAAATGGACAAAACAATACGAGCTTAAATAAATAATTAAATACAATAAATAAGTTACCTAAAGGGTAAATATAATAATCAAATCGTTATTTGTTTTTAATACATAAAAAACGACTCTTTTATGTTGAAGAAATAATTCAGTTAATAAAAAGACAAAGTAATATAATGATAATGGTGTGGAATATTGAGATTTTTATTATTAAAATAAACTAAAAATTTACCAACCTACATTTTACAAAACACCTACACTAATATGTTAATGGATGAAGCCAAAACAATTTAAATAATAATACTCGTACTAATGGTTGCATGTTACATTTTTACTTCATTCCTTTAAGCAAGATGGATTTTAAAATTAATATTAACATAACATGGTCGTATGCTCGTAAGTGATATAATATGTAATGAGTAATGACTTACATTTATTAGTAAAATAAAATTAGTAAGTAAAATGTTATATTTACATATTTTTTATAATTTTACAAAATTATTCGATTTACAATTGCATTACCTTTTTTTTTTTTACTTTTCTATGAATTTTCACCTTTATTTTTTTGTTTTCCAAAGTTTTTAGTGGCAAACCAGTTTTGGTTATCTATACATTTTTTTTTTAATTTATCGAGGATTTTTGAAGAGAACGGCATTTATTTAAACTAATCAAGGTTTTCGACTTATTGAGGTATATAAATAATAAATATTGTCGTATACTTTTTTTTAACGTGTTCTTTCTGATTAAAAACTTAACCCGTAACTGGTACATGAAAAAATATGACATTACTGATACAGTGCGGTGCGATACACCGCTATATTTAAAAAGCGATATTTCAACCGTTTTAGGCCAAGTATTTAAATAAAATCTAAGATAGAATTAAAAATCTATCTTATCTTATGAATAATACCCCCGTGAGAGGTATACTTTACCTCCAAATTATATTATCAATATTGTAAGATATGTATGATAAAAAAAATGCAGCGGTATGTGACACCCCACTATACCAGATACGGGTTAAATAGAGGAACCATAAAATAAAAGCTACAGTCTACTTAAAGCCGTTAGGCTTTAAGTAAGCCTTTAATGTGAGCCTGTATCACTATAAAGTTGCAATGAGCTGCTGAGGTCAGCGGCGTGGTTAAAAACACAGCAGTTTATTTGATAAGACAATATAATATTAATTATTTTATCACAATAAATTATTTGCTTGCAAAACAGTATCAATTTAGGTTTTTTTTATTCCCTCTAGCTAAACTAGGTTTTCATATGGAATGCATTTGGAACACTGACCATTGCAGCTCGCTATAAGTGGATGGTGAAACGAATATCTCACCCTAGAAATCAGAATAATTTTCAAAGTTCATATAGCTGCTAACTATAAAAATCTGCTAGTTTTAAAAATGTTATCAGCAAAAGAAACACAGCAAAATACTAAATGGTGGGGGGAATTACACAAAAATAAAAAAAGGTGTCTGGTAAGTGAATTTGTTCCAAACATTTTCTAGAAAACAGAATTGCCTTAAAAACTCACCCATTTAATGTACACAAACCTAGCCTTTTTTTGCCTGCACTATAAATGTGACATGAGTCAATAATTTACATTTTTGAATGTGGTGTAATATTATGTATATAATTAACAAGTTAGAATAGCTCACTCTGCGAGCATGGTTATTTCTCGGTTTCTAAACGATAAAAATCAACAATTTCCTTTGTGGCAAATAAACGCAACAATTAAAACTGCAAATATTGATTTTGGTTACACAACAACGTATCTATCTGACAGATAAATAGATGGCCACAAAAGGATATAACCGTTATACAAGATATCTAAATCTAAATCAATATTGTCTACATGCAAAATTATAAACAAAATAAAAATATTTAAATTTATTTAAAACAATACTTTATAATGCCTTCCAAAAATTGAATTTAAATACTCAAGTCTGGATAAAGTTTTAGAAACTTTTGCAGAAAAAATAACTAAAAAAATAACATGTTTGTTGGAGGGTAAAATGTTAAATAAAAATGCATTAAGCTTTATCTGAACTATTTTTAATATTAAACTTATGAAAACTCAGTCTGACTATTTAACTGTTTAATATCCATAATTTTTTTGTAATTTTTTTTTTTCAAATCCCTTCAAAATGTTTTAATTTTTATAGTATTGACTAATATGATATCTGTTTAACAAAGGTACTGATAAAAGATACTAGATTAGTTGTTTGCGTGAACAAACAAAACGTAAAACCAATACCTACTCAGCTTTCCAAGGAAACTAAAATTAACGAGAAAAAACACTTGCATAAATAGTGAGAATTTACTTAATGTAAGTTTTCATAAGTATTTAAAATCCATATTTTTTAAACATACTTATGGCATTTAAAACTGTATTAAAATAATCTCAAGTTAATAGATTAATAATCGGTTAATGAGCAACAAATATTTTATTAATAATTAGAATATGTTGTTAATATTGAAAAATAACTTTCCCATCAAGATTGTAAAAAAAAACACTATTAGTTACAAAATTGCTTAGAATATTCTTTGAATAGCTCTATCGATATTATGTATCATTTATTCCATTGATTTAATAGAAATATAAAATACAGTAAACCAATAAAAAAATCGTGATGCTTTTTTGTGATTAATTATTTATGATAAAGCAATAAAATTACTTATTGATCACTCCAGACAAATTACACTTAATGTTTTAAATTAAATATTTATGAATAAAGATCATAAATATTACATAAATATTTTATGTAATTGATAGTTTTATGAGTAAAGGTTTAAAAACCCTATTAAACCTATCAATTTAAAAAGGTGATAATAACAAGAAATAAAAAACAATTTTTTTAGTTTAATCAATTGCTATACTATTTTAGTTATTATAAACATGCAACATTTTAGATTTTCACTGTTTCTCTATTACCGAACGACCAGCTTCCTACTATGGATTGAGGTATTCTGTTATCAGTAGCACCATTGGACTGGTGTAACAGATCGCAATTGGGAATTTGGTTGTTAATCAATTTTTTGTAAACCCAATTCTGGATACAGGCACTCAAAACCATTTGGTAATGTAAACACTATGTTATACTTTCTAAAATTTGTCCAACTCTCAAACGACCCACATTAATTTTCTTTTAATCTCAAGACCAAATTATACAATATTAAATATTATTTAATCAAAATATAGATAAAATTAGTTACAAAGAGTAGGTGTGTGATATGAAATATATTAAGTACTTGTCGAACCTGTCTGAGATAGATCCTGATTGAACCGATAAACTATAGCAGTCAGAGTTTGTGTATGGTTGTACCAAAATGGCTTTGAATGTAAATTTTACAAAATAAGACTGGAAACTTTTAGTATATTGCAATATGAAATTAAATATTAACACTAGCATAAGTAAACAAACTAATTATGATACTGAACGCTCTGTAAAAGATGATAAATAATGACAGTTATTACCTAGCTTGAGCTTCATCCAAGGATTGGTCGGTGATATTCATTATTTGTTGCAGGATATCTCCAATGTCTTGTTTGCGCGCTTCTTGATCAGGTGGCGTAGGAGCCCCGTGATTGGGATCGACCGACGACATCCCGTACGGTTGAGGTAACATAGTACCGCTGGGATGCATCATTCGATTATGCTCATCCATACTATTCATATTTATAAATTCTATAACAAAATAATTGAACATCAAACGCCTTGCACACCGTCTTAAACATCCATATCACAACATTAATATGTTTTATATCATCGACCGACGATCTTCAGTAGTTACTACTAGTTGTTCTGTTCGACTTACATGGAAATACTATGTTTGAGCAAAACTGAAGCAGCATAACAGCAGCAAAGTCGCACATACACGAAAACACAAATGCACGACGGAGATTATGAGCGACACACGTTAATACCAATATTATTAATATTATTATTATTTTTAATAGTGAGAAATCTGATTTAACAGAACACACGGACAACGACGCCCGCCGCAACTCGTAGAGAACGGTGGCGGCGATGAAGAAAAACGATTTAGCTCACAACGTCGAAGACGATTTCCACGGGAAATGGAAAGATATATTATACTTGTAAATATAATATATCTATATATTTAACACCGCGGATCACATGGGGACAATCAATTGACCGGAACCATTTGACGATAAAGCGATTTTATATTTTAAAACTATCATTAGAAAATTAAAATCTAAAAAAAAAAGAAAAACTACACCCGAACTCGACGGCTTGTACGTTAAATATATAATAGTAATAAATAGTAGTAATAATAATAATATTAATAATAATAATTAATAATAATAATAATAACAACAATGAAATAAATACAAAACAAAAAAAAAAAAGCACGGCCGTAACTCAAAACGACGGACGGTCGAGACGCGGACAACTGGGATTGAGAGCTGTCGAGGCGCCGGCAGTTCCAGATTTCCCAGTCGCCGGGGTGGTGGGGGTAGCCGTCGGAATGCTGTCGCCGGCCAATGGCAGGTTCCGAATTTGCGTCGCGGGCGACGGCGACGATACGGCCAACTATACACTACGGACGACGTGTTCTCGGCAAATGAAGCAAATAATAGACCGATTAAGCGCGCCGCAATCGCATAGGAAAATCCCCGTACGTTGCCGCACTGATTTCCCGTCTTATCACCGCGGCGCTCGACGTCTTATCTGTTATCACTTATCAGTCACCGCAGATTTTTGTTCAACAGCTGCACGCCGTTTCGCGTTTAGCGAATAAAAAAGTTGAAAGTGACTTTTTTCAGTAACTTTTCGTAGTGGCTGCAATCTAGAAAAAAATAATGAATTCTCTATCGAAAAAAAATATCGACGTCAACAAAAATCGATTAAAAATACGTCTGGAAAGTTATGTTATGTTCTCAGTTTATAAATGAAGAGTTTCGGGACAAAGTGATCAAAGTGCCTTAATTTCAAAATTAGTTTTTTTTCATGCAGTCTTCTAGAAACAATTGCTAATTATGCAGCGGCCAGCGCGTTCTAATCGGGATTAGTTTCTTTTATTTTTTTAGTTAAAAAACGAGCCGGTAGATCGCGCTGACATTAACAACCGTACCCCAATAACACTTATTTTCCCTCAAAAATTTTTTTTTTGCCATTGTGATTTAAATTAACATATTCTTTAATGTTTTGTAAACTACAACGATTGTAGTTTGTTATACGTACAAGAAGTATAGTAACTAAATAATACTTTTTTTGTACTCAAATGTATTTTTTTTTATATTATGTTAGACACTCGTAATGTTGATAAACAATAAATTTGTCAAAATTGCATCTACTTCTTAAGAATATCGGTTCATAAAATTCGATTGAAAATAATATCGGGTTTACGCAAGGTGGATTTATACCACCTTGGGTTACGAATTAAAAAATATATTTTTGATAACAACTATATCGATCGCTTATCACTAATTTTTAACTTAACGAGATACATTTTAATACAAAATAACGTAACTTAATGGACGTCAATTACCTATTTCTTAAGGAGTAAAGTATAGGCAATTTTTCGCAAAATGTTTATTCAAAGCTAAACCAATATATACTTTTTATTAATACAGTAATGATCATACTTATTTGGGGTATCATCTATAGACTATAATAGCCATTATATTAAACTTTTAACTATTATCATTGAGTATTTATTTTTAAGAAATCAAACTACTCGTACCACTTCTAATCAACAGTTAATAGTACGAAAATTAAAAAAAATGTAATAAAAAAATAATTCAAAAACATCTTCTATTAGAATTAGTTAAAGTACATCAAAGTTTTAAAGTATGAATGAAAATAAGCGTAGGAGAAAAAATGGCAAGAGAAAGACTGAACAAAAGTTGGTTAGAACTTAGATTAGATTCAATATGAGGACTGTCGGTGTTTGCGAGGATGATGTTGGAGATAGTTTGAAGAGGTAGTTTAGGACAAGGGTGGCCGACCTCAAGTAGTTCTGAATTAGGATGAAAGTGAAGGAGAAGAAGATATATTTTGTACTTGTGCAAAATTTATTTTGTTTTAAGAGTAACTTGTCTATTTATATTTATAATTGTCGGTAGTTAGGGTACCTAGGGTTTACGTTGATTGAGTTGTTGCCTGGGTATACTGTAATATAGCATTTTATTTTACTACTAGTACCTACTTTACACCCGTTAAACACGCGATGGTTATGAAGTACATTAAATTATGTCGGCTACCGTTTGTTTAGCAAGGTATAATCATAAAAATATAATACATATAGTATCTATGAGGATTGAGGTTGTTGACTATAATTTATTTTCGCGGGTACATAATATACATAATAATGTATTCACTTCCGATCATATTAATGTGTTTAATGCAAATATATAATCGATAATTGCAGATGCCAGATTATATAAATTATATAAGCACATGTGGAACCAAAAAAGTAAGTTAAAGTGTTTAAGAGGGCTAAATGTTGATTTAATTTGGTAATGGAAACTTATTATTTTAAAAAATATTTAGGTAATAAAATTAATATTTTTTATGTTATACTTATATTTTAAATATTTTGGTAGAATTAATTACGAATATTACTAATATTTAAACAAAATGTTGTTCAATATTTTTTTTTAATATTAAATCACCTGTCAAAACATGGTTATTAAATATTAACAAACATTTTGAAAATATACAATTTTTTTCTGTATGGATATATTTTAATTTACAGTCAAGTCTCAATTTCGTTTTATTAATGCAACCTTCGGTGCTTATTCAAAAGGTAGGCATTAAGTCAAACACACAAACTTTTTAGGAATAATATCTAAATGCTAAAAATTCATTGTAGATCTATTATTTAATTTGTTTTCAAGTGGTTAAAGAATAGTAGACATTATTTTTATGTACTTAACTCATTTCGATTTTCTGAAAATAAAACTCGGATCAAAAAATAGTTCTGACAATATTAGAACAAGACCAGTGTTTTGTATAATACGTCCTCGACGGAGCTGTGAAAAATGTAATTAAATTACGAATAAAAACTAAAACAAATTTAATTAAAATAATGTGATAGTTTTTAACTGATAATTTTCAAATAAGATCATTCAAATAAACGGTTATTTAAATAAATACAATAAAATATCATTCGAATAATATTTTGTATTATTAGTTAGTGTTTTTTTCTCTCGAATAATTTATTATTTTATTCTAATAATTCTTAACTGATTTTAATGAGTCAAATTCTTTATGAGTTCCTCTCTTTACCGAGTTTACTAGTATTTGAGATTTTATTATAACACTAATGCAATTTCCAATTCACAAACGTCAATTAAAATAATTTTATTTTTAATAATTTATTTTCTCTTGGATACCATTACAATATAAAAACGGTTCTTATTCGATAAGGAGGTTATCGAAAGAGTAAGTATTTTTTTTAACTTATCTACGTATTTCGCCATTAAATTCAAGGTACGTTGATTTGATGATTAATCTACAAATATTGTTATAAAATCTGAACAATCACAACACATTTGATTTGGAAGACTTCATAGCACACATCATATGTGAACTGGCATTCATATGAATAGATATACCCACTAAGCTTTTTTTATTGTTTTACAAATGATGTAAAAAAAGGAGTGAAACCTTTCAGCAAGAACTTATTTTGCATAATTAGTATCATCTTTGTCTTTGGATTAATCGTATTCAATCTTAGTAATATAGTAGGTACCTAGTAATATAACAAAAGTAACGCGTTACTAATTAATATTTAGTAACGTGTTACATAACTACGTTATATCCTGCACTAAACTTCTCAGTAAATCCTATGAAACATCAACTTTCACTCATTAGCAACCAATTAACTTATATATTAACAATAAAAAACAACCATAACCTTTTTAAATAATACAGACTAAAAAATAAAGTCAAAACATTTTTTGGGCTTATAAAAAGTAACGCTAAAGTAACAATTTTATTTAATTTGTCTGTGGTCGCACTATTTTCTTCGAGGTCTGCCTAATCATTAAGTTTAATTTTGTGTGTTGATTGCGTCAATGGCTATTAAAATTTAACAGTTGAGCTTGTTCTTTACTTCTAATCTTTACCTCTTGTGTTTTATCTACATACGTGGGCATACATTATGGTCTATACTCTATAATATTGTACCACACACAGTACAGATAATCTATAATATTAAAAATAATAATTTAATCTGTAGTACAAGGAGCAACATTATAACATTTTGCCTAACGTATAAGCAGTCTTAGGCGTGTTTTTGTTGTAATGAAACAACATTAATTTGAACTTATCCTCTTCGGCGTTATTTTTAATTGAAACTTAAATTTGTAATGATTTGTTTAAAAAAGTTATGATTTTAGTGACGACAGTATTTTATTGTTATTATTAGCCACGCGGTTAATACTAAATAGCAAAGAAGATATTGTTAGCATTATTTTTTAGTTTTGTTACGTTACTATACCCAATACTGACAAAAACATGTCATTAAATTATTAAAATAATATAGGTAACGAAAATTACCGTTCCGAAAATAATACATTTTTAGGATTTGACAGTCTTTTCAATAATAATTATCCAACCATGCGGACTACACATTACATTGCATACAACCACATGTTGGCATCACATCCGATTGTATTATCATAATATCATTCGTGCAATCATAAGTAGGCAGTCATCAGTTTCCACTCGCGGCTTTTGCCTCGCATCGACGTGTGTATACTTCATTATTCAAGTCTAGTGTCTACTGTCTACCGTAGATTGTCCAAGATCGTTTTCATCTCTAATAATAATAATTGCACATTGATACTTTACTTTATCGGCCTCATTCGAGTTTCGGCATTATCATTGCCATATTACAAAGGCACGTGAGTGTTCAGTTCCATTATCAGCCGTTGCTACTTACCAGTACAAATTTTAATATTATCGTCTGAATGCTCGAGTTCATCAACCGTCAACGTGCCTCATTCTTGTCTATGCGTGCAATTTTATAATATTCGTACACACGTTAAGTACATTTGAATATTATTTACCTTTACCCTACAGTTATTTTTTTCCTACTAAACAATTAAAAAGTACCACGAGGTAAGCAGAATTCTGTATAAGTATATTTTGATATGACATAATATTGTATGTTTCCACGATTTGTACTGTGATTACTTAATGTACCTATTAATCGGCTGTTAATCGTAATAATATATTATGTATGCCTACCTGCATTGTCGCCAATAATGATTTTAAATTTAACCATCTATATAGCATAATCTTATAGGTGTTAAAAAAACAAAAAATATTATAAAAAATACATCCGCTAAGCTACGCTTTTTACAAATGTATTTACGTTCAATCTCCCGCACATTGGTTAGCACTCGGCAGCTACGTTATAACAAGTAAGACGCACGCTCAACATATTGAGTAGCATTTTTTAAAATTTGTTTTTTATTTTTTACTTAAAGATTGGCATTGGTTTTTATAATTTTATAAGACAAATTAAAATATATAGATTGCCATGCATGATTTTTCTATAAAATAATTTTTTTTTTAATTTTATGTTGTTGAATGCGGGAAAAGTACATTAAAACATTGTAAATTGTATATTTTTTTTAGTGAATATTATATTTTTCAGATTCAAAGCCATGTCGTCGCAAGAATTTTTACAACAAAATACTTACAGTACAAAGTCGTCAGATCCTATTCTGAGTTTATCTTTGGAAGCAGCTGATCCCGAATTGTATAATTTGGTCAAGCAGGAGGCTCAGCGGCAGAAAAAAGGACTTGAATTAATAGCATCTGAAAATTTTACATCTGTATCTGTATTACAATGTCTTGGATCATGTTTGACAAATAAATACTCCGAAGGTCTTCCCGGTGCTAGGTAAGATGTATATTAAAATTGAATTTCCTGTTCAGTCTTGCTTATGTAAAAAATGACTACTCAAAAAGATATTATGGCGGAAATCAAATAATCGATCAGATTGAAGTGATGTGTCAAAAACGATGTCTCGAAACGTTTTCACTGGATCCGAGTCTATGGGGCGTCAACGTTCAACCGTATTCCGGTTCTCCTGCAAACGTTGAAGCTTACACTGCTCTGGTTGGCGCAAGAGGACGAATAATGGGTTATTATTAGTTTTTATGTACCATAATTATTTGTATTTATAGAATTCATATGGGAAATTTCTCACCAAATGGCACTCAAATTTAGTTTGTTTTTCTGTTGAAAATAAAATATTAATTAATCACGTGTGTTTAAACTTTCACAGGCTTAGATCTACCAGATGGTGGACACATCAGTCATGGCCTGATGACTCAAAAGAAAAGACTGTCGGCAGCATCAATATTTTTCGAGACTTTACCATATCATGTCGACTTGCAGACTGGTTTAATAAATTACGACGAGTTAGAACAAAGTGCAAAAAATTTTAAACCAGACATTATTATTGCTGGTATGTAGTATTATGCACAACTTGCAGTATAAATATTAAAATATGACACTATTTTTATTATTTAAAAAAATATCATAATTAGGTGTAACGTCGTATCCAAGAACATTAGACTATAAACGTTTTAAAGAAATAGCTGTTAATAGCGATTCATACTTGATGGCCGACATGTCTCACATCAGTGGATTGGTAGCAGCAGGTGTTATTCCTTCGCCTTTTGAATACTGTGACGTAGTTACATCTACCACTCACAAGACGTTAAGAGGACCTCGTGCTGGAGTTATATTTTATCGCAAAGGTATTTTCTAAGCAATATAATGTGTAATAAGGTGAAAATAAATTCATTAATTACATATGTTTGTTCGATGATTTAGGAGTTCGTTCAGTGACAAAAACTGGCGAGGAAATTATGTACGATTTAGAAGACCGCGTAAATGCTGCCGTTTTCCCTGGCTTCCAAGGAGGACCTCATAATAACGCTATTGCAGGAATAGCAGCTGCCATGAAATTAGCGACTACACAGGAGTTTAAAGATTACCAGAAACAAGTCTTGATTAATTGTAAACAATTAGCCGAGTCATTAAAAGAACTCGGATATAAAATATCTACTAATGGCACCGACGTGCATATGCTCTTGGTCGATCTACGACCAATCAATTTAACTGGATCAAAGGCTGAACACACATTGCAGACTGTAGAAATTGCTTGTAACAAAAACACTGGTAAAAAATAACTTAACAAAAACTTTACAGTTGGAAGTGCTATTAATTATTATATGTAAAGGTTTCTTATTTCGCAACTGGTCGAATTTCTGATATACTACCTCTTCAGTTGGTTTGAAATTACAAAATAAAAAAAAAACGGTAATTTTTTAAAATTTCTATAACCTCAAGAACCCCTTAAGAAGGAGGTTTATTTTACATTATCTATAGCAAAAATCGATCAAAAAAATCATTTAGAATACAATTGGGTGGTGTGACTTTTCATGCAAGAATATTTATATATTATAAAAATTGTTAAAACACAGTAAAAAATTAAAATTTGGATATTTAGCCATTTTGTTTTTGTAGCGTGTAATGAACTTAATTCAAATTTTTGAACTCAATTGAAATCCTGTTAAAACGTGTAGTTAAAAGTAAGAGCAAAATTAGAAAAAAATCAACCTTCCTATGGGAGATAGCTAAAAATCAAATAAAAATCTAGAAAATTATAAAAAAAAAATTTGTGAATCCAAACCAATTGCAGGGTTTGAGGTGTTTAATGAGTTCCAGGCGGCATATAAAAAAATTGACTGGACTGAATAAAAGGACCTTAATATATATTATATACATTAATAAAATACTAGCTAATTCTAATAACATGTATTAAATAAATATTAGAATTTAATATACCTATTTATACTCTAGTTCCCGGCGATAAAAGTGCAATGAATCCTTATGGAATTCGTCTAGGCACGCCAGCACTGACTACAAGAGGAATGAAGGAGAAAGATATGGCTATAGTCGCTCAATTAATTCACAAAGGTAACGGTTTTGTATTTTTTGTTTATGCGCAACATATCTTATTAATAATTAAAATTTTTTTTTAAGGTTTATGTTTAGCTTTGGACGTACAAAAGATATCCGGTCCAAAATTGGTCAACTTCAAAAGTACTCTTACCTCCAATCCAGATTTTGTTGAACGCGTTCAGACGTTGACTAAAGAAGTCGAGAGTTTCGCTGAACAATTCTACATGCCTCAATAGTTTTATAGTTGTTAAACTATTGAAAATTAAAAATTAAAATTTTTTTAGAAATCATTCTAAATAAGGAGCATATCAAAAAAATCGAAAAATAATTTAAGTTTTTTACATCATCTTGTTATCCTTTATTATTGAAATAAAAAATATAATTTATAAATATAGTGAATTTTTATTTCATCTTCTTCAGCTTCAACAAATGATCACGTAATTTAATCTGTAAGAAAAAAATATAAAATGCAAAAATTAGTTCTTCACTAACGGAAATTATTTAAATAATATTTAATAGTAATATGATCAATTCTAATTTTGCCCTTTTAATTTTTGAAATTGGACACTCAAGATACCAATATTTGAACTATCTAACAATCAGAAGATGTCCATCCGCTTTAATTAACAATTATTTATAAAAAAAATTGAAGTTTGATTTTTTTTAAATTGTCTCCAACTTTAAAACTTGTCCATCACTACTGAATTTAAAAAAAAAATTACCTGCTTGTCCTTAAACGATCTCTTTATTTTCCCCTTGGCTTTATGTTTAATCATCATAAAGTTCTTATTCTTATTCTTTTCACGATTTGTTTTACTTGAGAACGGATCTACTCGACCGTCTTTATATCCAAACTTTTCTCTACCTTCTTGTCCTTTCTGTAAAAAGATAAAAAAAATTTACAATTGAGTTCAAATACCTTATTTAAATTATTACCTTTATAGATTCAATTCTAGTTTGTTTATCGTGTTTTCTTTTTTTATAAATATTTTCAATATCTCTGAGCCGGACTAATTCACCCCTAAAATATAAATAACAATGTTGGTATTTGAGTTCAACAACCAGTATATTAATTTAATAAAATAGCAGTAACAAATATTACCTAGACGATTCTTCAGGTTCTGCAGGACGTTTCCGATTTCTTGCTGTAGTCATTTGTTTACTGAGTTGAGCAATTTCTATACGCTTAAAATCCTCATCGCTCAGTATTCGCATAGTACTGACTTGAGCAGCCTTTTCTTTTTTCTCTTCTAACTGTTGTTTTTTTGTAACTTTTTTCACTATCGTTGGTGTGTCATTAGATGTTGTTCCTTGTGTACACATACTCAGGTCTGTTTCATTCATTTCTTCTTCTTCATCAATATCTTCTTCTTCGATATCATCATCATCTTCTTCTTCATCATTATCTGCTTTGTCTACAACATCATTGCCGCCTTCGTCTTCCGAGTGTATGACATCGACCCATTCGCCATCAGAATCGTCAGACTCACTGTCTAATTCTGGTTGATCTTCCGATTCAAGAAGTACTTCGGCCCCAGGCACAAACTCTTTTGCATCGATTTCTCCATATTTTTTAGCCACAATTTCCATTGTTGCTTCAGTTGGTCTACCCTAAGGAACAAAATAACATTTTAAATATATATTTATAATTTATAAAATAATTCAATATGTACAAACCCTATCTTTTTTGTGTAATAAATGAGGCATTGAAGATCTATACACGTGTATCAATGATTTAGCGGCCATCATAACGCTACGTTCTCTGTAATTTTTATACTGAGCAAGATCTCTTAACAAGTCCTCAGTCATGACCAACGGCGCTCTTGAACACATTTCTCGGATGGCATTTAATCTATAAGATTTAATTGATTAATTGTTTATAATTTAAATCCATTTTTCAGATAAAATTATTTTTAACTTACAGGTATAACTACATTATAATTACATCACTACAAATAAATCAAAGATTTGTAAGATACTTCATTATTTAACATACCCAATAGCCATGACATCAGATGAATTTCTTTCTGTAACAAAATTATTGACCAACGCACGCAAAACAGGTTCCAATACATCGGGAGGGACTAGTTCATGAGACGATTGTGCGACAAATTGCATCATTCTCACAACCTCTAAAATATAAATTATTTAAATGAAGAAGACAATAATATTGACCAATTATTTGTTGCCACCTTCAAATTCCAAACTATCCTTTACAGCCTATATTTATCTAATTTTAATTCTTTTTCTTATATGACTACAAAAATGAGTGATCTCAACAAGGTGAATATTTAAACATTTTTATTTAGAATACTTGCATTATTTAATAGTTCAGTTTGATTTAGATCTAATAAACTTACAATTAACTCAACAATATTCTGTTGACGCAATGGGTAAAAACTACATAAAATGCCCAGTATTCATTTTTTTTAAATGTATCTATAGAGTTAAAAAAATACTATACTAGATTCATTAAGTTTTAATTTTTTCTATAGTTATTTGACTGTAAAAAATTGAAAACTTTTCCATTCCCAATTTTTTGCCAATGAGTGGAGTTAGGCTAGTAGCATGTAGAAAAATTAAAATTTTAACATCGTCCTAATTTTTTTTTTTTGTATGGCGTTTATGACTAGGAGTAGGCTTAGGTTTCTGAAATGCTTAGAGGGGGATAACAGTCTTTCCTCCTAGACAGGTTGCTATGTCCAGTGAGAGGCCGCCCATGGCAAGACTCAAATCCATGACGGTGCTCACCGGTCATGCCGTTAAATTTACGCCGTATTAATTTACTAGGCCATTCCGTACCCCATTACCCAAATACCAACCACTCCAATAAGTTACACAACTATTGAATCCAAAATTTAAGATTTCAATCTTAACTGCTTTCTAACCTTTTTGATGAGGTTGTAAAAACCTTTGTACATAAGGATAAAAATTGAATAGAATTAATTGATGTAAACCAATTAGTCGTGAAACGACATCTAAAGTCAACATTTTCACTTCAAATCGCTCATGTCTTTTTTCTAATTGATGAAATAATTTTTCAGCAAATCCTTGAGGGTCGTGTATCAGTGTGAGAGCGGCAAAATTAGACGGCTGCGACTGTTTCTTTTTTTTCTTGTTTTTCTGCATTAAAAACATTATTTAATTTAAAATTTTTTAAATTATTTTAAAACAATAATAGTACCTCTACTAAACGTTTAACTTTTTTCAAGTTCTTTTGCCTCTTTCTAGTTGTTTTGCTAACTTTATTAGCCATTATTACATCTCTTGTGTTTGGTGCATCCTAAAAATTATAAAATTATATTGAAAACAAAAATAATTATGAAAATAAATGTAGAAGTAACTTTACATCATCAGAACTAGAAGAATCGCTTTCATCGTCGGAATCATTGGTGTCCACTGTCACGAAAAATTTTAAAGCGGCTACCATGACTTTAGTTATTTTTGAAAAAACAGCCGTTGATATGACATTGACAGTTTTTGTATCCCTCCAAATGTTTTTTTTGTACAAGTCGATCATTATGCCCTACAAATTATATGTATGTTATTTTAAGTACATCAAAAATCAATTTCGAGTGTGATTTATTATACCAATGACATTTTGGCTGCTTTGGCATTATTATCTTTTAACATGGTATACATGAAGTTTTGTAAATTCTGTAAAACAATTTAATATAAGTACCTTTAGTATTGAATATTATTAATATATTTTTAATTACCCTATTCAATTTGGCATCTTTATGTTTGGAGTTTAAATTTTTAATGTCCGTAACTATATGTGATTCTAAAAACTTTCTTAACTCTTTGTCTTGCGATCTGAGAAGTCCAAAGAACAGTGAAAGTAAATCTGTTGGCGTCAACAATCTTTTATTGCGTAAAAGAATCAGGGCTCGGCAAAACGTCTGAACAAATAAATACAATATCAGTTAACATATTATCAATATTAAAGCGGGTAGGCCCCCCTATGCGGCTTTCCTTTGATAATTCAAAAGAAAACTGCTCAGCCATCCAGGAAAAGCCGCTTGGGGGGGGTTGCTGCTTTACTGCGTTCTAAATGTTTACCATTCGCATGTCTTTATCTAAAACTGGCCCATGAGTCTGTAGTAAATCTGTGAGTTCTTGTGCAAATGTAGTAAGCTCACCAGGATAACAGTGTGCTACTTGAGCCATAAACATGACGAGTTCATCGAGACTTTTGTTGAATTCAGTTGGTCGTAAAGTAAACACAGCAAGTAATGACTTGTAATGACGTTGCTGCTGTAAGAACTATTGAAAATCAACGATTATACATTAAAAATTGTTATATAAATTGCGTAAATAATCGAATAAAAGTTACTTCATCTTTATACGAAGCCGGGTCTCTTTTTATAAGATTTTGAAGCTGAGGAAGATTATTGGGCAGCTGATTGTTGTGCCGCACCATTATAAAATTAATTTGAACTTCTACATAAAAGTATTACTTTTTATTAATAATTTAATTGAAGTTATGTTCAACAATATTTTATTTTTTTATGAGTATACAATACAACATTTTACTCAACTAAAAACTAATAAAAAGCGTGCACCATTTACGACGCACGTGAATACAAATACGTTGATAAAAAAAAACTGATAAACATTGAAAATAGCGATAACGAATAATTTATCAATTTGAGGTTATCGTGTATTCACGTTACCAAGTTAATAATTAAGTCATGCGGTTACCACATAAACCTTTATATTGATAGACGGAGCGGACCATACTTGTAGTGCCAGCGAGCCGGCGTGAGAGCGCTGTCGTCTTAATCTGGTAATCAATGCACATGCGCATTTTTATTTCCACTCACAATTAGTTATTATAATATGGTATTTATTATACTCTGGTATTTTTTATTGTTTATTTATAAACAACGAAATCGTGACCGCTCTATCCACACTCGCATCCTACGCGGATTCTCATTCTCGTGGCTAAAATAAATAGGCATGGTTGTTAGATAATATTGCACTGCCCACAAGATATTGCTTCCACAAACTTGGAAAACCATATGTATTTATTCCCCTTGTAACATATTCTATGACTGGGAAATGTGTATAAATGGGCAAAGATAGGAAAAGTTCGAAATCTAGCGATCATGCATGTTTATTTAGTTATGATTCGTCTAATGTTATAAGGTCTAGGGTTTTTTTTAGTTTTAGTTGGTTAGTGGGTGGGCCCAAATAGTGCCCATGCATTCAGACCTGTAGGTCCATTGTGCACACCTTCTCACCGAAGTCCTATTCTAATTTCCACGTAGCCTTAACGCCTACGCCCTACTTAATTAGGTCTTGGGGTTGCGCGCGATTTTATTTCGACAGTTTCGTATGGGAATTAATGTCATCAGGAACAATGATATTTTGTTCTACTTTCAAGAAAACTAGAAAAATTCTACTTAATTTAGTTTATACAATTTAGTTTAAACATAAAATGATTTTAAAAAATTACTTTAAAATCGCGTGGAATTTTGTTAGGTACAAGATCCAACCTAACAAAATTATATTGTATTATGTATAACTTATACCTATGTACATTAATACATATAATATATAATGCTATTATATATTATAACTCACTTAACAAAATTACATAATTTGGTTAGGTGGGTTCTTTGGTGGTTATTTTTAAGCTTTAAATCTTTTCGCAATATATTCTAGATATTGTTTCAATTTCATTTTGGATTTTGAAACAATGTTTTTTGTCAATGAGACAGTCAAGACGCAACTACATTATGGTTCATGATAACCTGATTTATAACACATATAAGCATTAGTGTTATCCCATAATACTGTTGGGACTTACTGGTCACACATTGGAGATATAAATGAAAAGATGCATACGATAAAAAAAAAGTAAGTATTTTGGTTTCGGTATACATGTTCATGGGACTGATAATGACTAGCTTTTTTAATGATTTGGTATAACTTGAAAAAAAGGAGTAGGTACGTACTACAGGTATTTAAAAGGTAAGAAAAGTAGTTAAACCTATCCACTCATTTTAGTTTACTATTATCTAATTTTTTTTGTATTAGCCTCAAAATTATAATATATCAGTTATTAATTGTAAATATCATCATATATAATATGATGATATATGTATACAAATTACAATATACACATAACATTTTCTATATATTACGGTATCTATATTTATTGAAGCTGAATATCGTTTCAATATCGATAAGCGTACATTACGTAATAAACACCTCAAGGATTAGTATTAGGTACATCAAAACATTCCTCGGCGAATAACCATTTTTATTATCCAAGTCTTGTGTCCCTCAAATATCGGCATTTTTGTTGTCGTTAAAAACGTAAATTAAGACTTTCTATGGGCAGAAATAGATCTATGATGCATGTTGATGGTATTAGCCTTTGGGCAAGTATTGATTACACATTTACCCATTTACTTAAGTGTACTCTAAGTATTTCAACATGCATGAGCAACGGTTGAGTTTTGGGTGTACAAACTAAATAGATAATAGTCTATAAACAACCGTTTCAGTTAAAATTAATATAATAAAAGTGACTACATTAGTAGGCAAATTTAATAATTTTGTACGGGGCTACAAACATTTTGATAGTAAACTTTAAGCTTCCTAGAATGATTAACGTTGTGACAAATAGATAAACTGGCTGAAATAAATTAAGAATAAAGGGACTTAAAATTATTGTACTTATCAATAAAAGTAATTTTAGAAATTAAACAAGAATTACAATTGACAAAAAGCGTTTAATGAATACAAGTAGAAGTATTTTTACTATTTTGATTAAAACTTGAAGCAATCACTGGTTGATTAACTTCAAAGGACGTTGCTTTGAAGTACCTTTTTTTTAGTTGGTCTTCGTCACTACCCGGACGCAGTTGTATTGTAAGCCGTTCGGTTCATCTCACTAGCCTGCCTGTGTAGATCCAACTCTTGGTGGGCAGAGCGTAAAAGTTCCCGTTCGATTTGGGTCTTATCACGAACAAGGTTGAAAGGAATATTAGAATGTAGGTCTTCTGACAAACGAATACTATAATAATAAATAATAATAATAATAGACATTTTAGAGGAACCGTTTTTGAAAATTCAAAATCACAGGCTTTTACTGGCACTTATTGTACACACAATGTGTATTAGGTATCTAATATTTGTGGCTTAAAATGTACATTTTTATATTAAGTTTTCGTAGCGGGTAATAGCGAGTAGCTAATAGGACCACCTACATTAAAGTTAAATCTTTTTTTCCCCTTAAAAAAATAAAAGACGGTGAGTGAGTTAACCCTTTAAAAGGAAATATATCGCAACCATCTAACTGAAGTCTTTTAGCCACTTTAGGATCTCATAGACAATAAAGCTACAAAAGAAATAAAAATCTTACACCTTATACCTCTCATAGGAATAACTCCACCTCCTAAAGCGTTCTTCTTTAAAGAAATTGAACACTGTATTTCTACTGTATTGTAGTGGACTGTATTTTTAATTTCCCTCCCTAACAATCACCAAATGACGGTTATGATTTAATACTTCTGAAGTTTCAAGCTGACCAAAAATTACAAAAAAAATATTTCAATACATTTTTAATTGTACTTTTCTTTTCAATAGAAATTTTCAATTGTAATACTTATTCTTAATCCAATGTAATATATTTATATTAACTACATCATAGGATTGTATGAACATCAATAATTGTAGGAGAATTATTCTCCTATAGATTTATAAGTTTCCTACAGTTTATTTCCAAAGTATTTGAAAAACAAATTCTTAAAAGACTAAATCCAATAATTCCCTGAATTCAGTTTTAGAATTTCATTCTTCAGTTCACCAAATAAATAGCTTACTGTCACAGTTGTCACTACCTAGTAAATAAACAGTACTATACGCGAGATTTTCTAGATGTGTCCAAGAGTTTGAAATTCCTAAACTCGACGTCAGAACTCAATTAACATACTTAACTAACAATCAATAAACTACTAACAAAACCACTATGGATCTCCGACTTACAAATCTGGTGAGCTGCAAAAAAAAACATATCTTAACAAAATATTAACTGTCCAAACCCTTCCGTCCGATTCCTAACGCTCCTTACTATAATTTATGTATCAAACAAAACTCTAGAAAACACAATGACATTTACATAAAGACAGTACCCGAATGCGCAATGCAGCCATACACGCGATACAAAACTCTATCCAGTCACCCACCAAATATTCTAGCTACAAACCTTGCATTACCTAACATGCTAGGATATCCCGCCCCACTAAATGATTTAAACGTAAATGGTTTCGAGACTTATTACAATAATTTACATCAGTAGACTAACAAATACATCATAAAAAAAAATAAAATAATAATACAATTTCCGTGAAGTGTCGTCGGTAGGTGGTTACTTAAATCATGTCACACACTTTATTGTAAATATAAAACTATTGTCTATTATTAAATATACTTTTTATACTAGATTGTATAGATTGTATACAACAAAAAGAGAACGAAAAAAATGTTTGCTTCTAATGTCAGTTGTGCAAAATGTATATTTTTAAAAATTTTAAATGTCAAATAAATTAAAAAATATATCTACTCAAATTTATAGCAGCTCTTAACTTTTTGGACTTGTGGAATAAGGTAAGAAAAATAGATCAAGTGTGGCTTTGTAACATGTTTTTTGGGTCGACATAAAGTCAGATAAAATAAACATTTATTATCGCACATTAACGTTTATTTACGGCACGGCCAATGTTCTGGAACATTTAAGTTGGTGTTTGTTTAGTCCGAATACAACTACCTAATGCTGGTAATTAGTGTATACTAAAAATTCGCAGTATGTTGTTAAATACCTACTGAAGACACAGTCACGAGTAATACGTAATGGATCGAGTTTTATTGCCGAAGCTTAATTATTTTTTAAGCACCATAAAAAATTGTTTTCTTACTAATAGGTAAATCCCACGAGAAGAGTTCGCCAAAACGGTTTTGAGTTTAGCTCACTGTCGATAGGCGCCCAGGAAGTCAACGTAATATTCATTGACTCAAAACAGCTCTATAAATTATAATATTGCACGCAGACGGATAATGTTTCCGATTCGGCGGGTTTTTCCAATAAAACATTATCATTTATCACTTACGCGGTATCATAATACCTGATATTGTAAAAATGTGTTGACCGGTGGCACGTGTGCTGTGAACATACCCACCCAACGTTTGAGTCGTTTACACACTGTATACAGTGTACAATATTATAATATACCGTGCAAGAATATTATGTGTGTTGTAGATATTTTATCGTTTGTTACCACACATAATAATAAAAATAAAATGATCAGAGAGCCATATTCTAGGCGTTTGTGACGTATACGGAATTTGTAAAACTACAACACGATCGACAGGGCAAATATACACACACACACACATATAACAGTAAAAAACCGGTCAGTTAAGTGAAAGTATAACGTTCGGTAAACTTGGTGGTGCCATGGCTACGACGACGACTCCATTGAAAATACCATTTGTGGTATTACATTAAAATAATAATGAAATAAAATAACAACGTTGCGGTTATAACGTCTGTGTGACTTAATATGATAATATGCA